ATGGGGCAGCTACTCTGGTTTCTGATCAAAAGAGAAAATTCAGTTTCTTGGGGGATCTATTTGAAGTTAAACAAAAATCCAATTTGTTATGAGCAATATATTTAATATAAATATAGTGATCACTTATTGGCTTATCTTTATTCTCTTAAAAAACAACTAGAAATGGCATAGAGACTGGTTGATGAGTTTCCCATTGATGGGAGACCCAATGCCACAGTAAATTTACCAAAGAAAAGAAAATTCTATTTACTGTTTGTTTCAGAGGATAACATTGGAAGGAAATTGGGTCCCCAAAGCAAATTAAGAAAAAGTCAAGGAGCGTTTGAAAACACTTGTTTAAAAAGCAGGGGAAATTCCTCTTTTTTTCTTTATTGATTAAGGTATTACATATGTGGGGAAATTCCTCTTATCTGCCCATTAATTTATGTTTCACATTTGTCTCTCCTGTGGGCAGGAGCTATAGTATAAGTTAGAGCCATTATCAGATTTAGTCTAATTCACTTAGATTTTCATTTATTTAAGTGAAATGACAAATTCCTAATCATTGCTTCAAACAGAGGAGCTGTAGTGGTGGGTGGATATTGTCTTCTATGTCTGGGACCCAAGATCTTAAACTTCTGGGTAAGTTCTGTCCACCTGGCTTTATTGTATCACCTCTGGAATAGTATTAAGCAGTAGCAGCAGTTAATGTATTCTGAACACTGGATCTGTTCTTACTACTGGCCTAAATAACATCTCTTTATTATTTTTCTTTATTGTTGAAAGTATTACAGATGTCCCCTTTTTAATATCATCTCTTTAAATCCTCTGAACAATTCTGAGGTAAGTGCTATCATTATTCCAGTTTTTTCACATGAAGAAACAAACACAGAGACAAAAGGCAGAACCTGAACTCAAACCCAGTTAGTCATGCTTTTAACCACTGTACCATACTTCTGCAGGACACTCCTCTGAGTGTTGTTATATACCCTGATCCAAGGCAGCTGGATTTCCTAGTCTGTAAATGGAATTTAGCCATTGGGGCTTGGTGGTCCCTGTGTGGAGTACTGGAGCACTGTCAAGTTTCCTTGTATTTGCCTGGCCTTTGAGTAGAGGATCAGAGCTCTAAGGATATTAACATAAATTCACAACCCTCCCTCACTTGAGCTGCCAGGACATAAGTAACAATCCCTGTCTCCACATCCCTCTACATGAGAGATTTCTGGCTATTTTGATGAAAAGAGCATTACCTCTCTTTTTCTCTTAGCATCTTCTCTCTTGCTTTCTCTTTCTCTCTCTCACTCTTAGTTCTGGCTATCTCTTGCCCTGTAACTTTCTGTGTAGTTAGTTTTATTTCCTTTTCTCAGTCTCTTTCTTTTCCACTGTCCTATTGTTTTACTTCTTCCTGTTCATCCTTTCTTTCCGTTTTCCTTCAATCCTCTTCTAATGACCACTTTCCTATTCCTTTCTTTCCACTTAGTTTTCCCTCTTCCTTTCATTTACACCACTTCTCCTAATTCTCTTTATTTGCCATATTCTTACCAAATGGGATGGAAATGGAGAAGAAGGAATTAAGTGTCCAGTGTACAATACCAAACTTCCCAACTTTCCCTGCAGTAAAGTCAGTGAAAGTTCTGTAGCTTGGCTAGGCCCTATTTTGGGAAAACAGCCTCCCCACACTGTTTATTTCTTAGCAATCAATGGTTGCCTTTTAAATGAACACAAACAATGGAGAGAGGAGGAGGAACATCAGATTTGCACAAAACCTCCCATCTTCCTTAGGCAGCAAAGAAAGCATGCCACTTGTTACCATCTGGTACCTTTAGTCCGATGCTTTTTGCTTGATGGTACAGTCAGAGAGTTCCTAGTAGAGTTCCTCTGAGTGAAAATTCAGAATTTGACTGGTCCGAAACCCTTGTTGTACAAGAAGCAGCCAAAAGGAAACATTCTTGGTAAGGCGTTTAGCAATCTAAGCTTCAAAGATCTAGAATGCAAGCCTTCCAATTCCAGTCCAAGACTCTTATTTTAGCTACTTCCCTTTCTACCTCCAGTGACTGTACTGTCCCATTCAAACTAGAGCAGTCTCCTGCCACTTGATTTTGCTACCATTCTCTCTCTCCTTTTTTGTTCTGTAGTCTGGGCCCCCTGTTTTTAGGCTGCATAACTATCTTGAAATTTTGCAATTACTAGTATATTGGTTTAGAAAGTTATATGTCTAACTATGTCCTGCCTGGCATATTGGATTCAAATATAATGGTTTGAATTATATTTGAATCTCCCATTAATTAATTAATTTTGTTTTCTGTACTAAGAGAAAGAGCAGTACTTCTCCAGCCAATGAACCTGGCATTGTATCTGAAGGTACAGGTCTTTAGGGTGCATGCTCTGGGTTCTGAAATGTTGTCTCTTCTTCAAGCACAGAAATGGCTTCAAAGGATGTCTGTGCCCTAGATGAGAGGCTATTTAAAGCACCACTCTTGTTTCAGAGACATGTCATTTGCTGATTAAGCTTGGGAATAAATTGTGTGTTTTGGTAAACTGACTATAGTGTTTATTATTACTGCCTGGTACCTGTGTATGCAAATTAACCCGCCATTTTGTCAGGTTAATTTGCATACTCATTCCTGATTGGCTGGTGAGTATAGCAGCTCATTCATGCACTGGGGGGTGTGGGGGTCCCTCAGCCCGACCTGCACCCTCTCCAATCTGGGAGCCCTCAGGGGAGCCCTCTCCAATCTGGGAGTTTATGTCTGTCTTTGAAATCATATGAGCGAATTGTCTGAGACCCCAACTCAGTTTGGATTGTTGCTCACAGAATAATAGAGGCTTTTTTTTTCTCTTTGCTTTATTGGTGGAGATTTTCTGGAAGTTTTAGGATATCTTCCCTTTAATTTTTCCTAGGCACTCTGATTTTACTTATGACTCTCATCTTTGCTTTCCCTCCATCCCCTACCACAACAGTAACTTGCTCTAGGCTCACTTTGCTCTAGTGTCTAGGAGATTCATCTGCTACCAGAACTATGATTCCCAGCATTCCTGGTGCTCCCCATGCTCTGGGCTTCCACTTCCGGTCCTGGGGCTACCACCAAAACTACTATTCCCAGAATTCCTGGTACTCCCTGTGAATTGCCAAGCTCTCCGACTATGCTCTCCATCTGGCTTACCCAGGAGCCGATTTCCCCAAGCTGCTCCACTCTCTGCCTGCTCTCCCACTCTGCTCTCTGCCTGGTACCTGTGTATGCAAATTAACCCGCCATTTTGTCAGGTTAATTTGCATACTCATTCCTGATTGGCTGGTGAGTATAGCAGCTGGATGGTCAATTTACATGTTTCTTTTTTATTATATAGGATGATACCCATAATCTCTTCTGAAAATTAAATGTTTGTGGATGCATGCAGTGGCCTTGAGTATACTAGTATGTGAGTAGGGGACAGTGTATTAAGCCTAAGGGATGGTTCTGGAAAGTGGGAAGTCAAGCAAATCTAAGGTACGTGTGGGCCAGAACCCAGGACTGGATGCGTAGAGTGAATATGCTACACATGGAGTAGGTGTGTTCCCTTCTCCACGAGGGAAAATAAATAGTGCTATAGACTGCATTAGCCAGTCTCATTACATACATACATTGAGTCTTGTGTGGACTCTGTTTGTGTTAGCTGTGTTACTGGTATGCTCTACTGGGGTCAGCTGTGCTGGGCTGGAATGGGACTTGTTTGAATTTACTGTAATGATGGGGTGTTTGGTAGCTTGGAATGGGCTTTGTTAGGCTGGACTAAGCAGCCCTATGCTCTGTTTGAGGTATGCTGGAATGGATATGCTAGTCTGGGCTACAAAGGGGTAGACAGGGCTGACACAAGCAAGAAAAGAGAAACTTAATAGTATAATAACTTTACTTTTTTGGGTATCATTTTCCAACTTGGCAAATATGTGATGAATTCATCCATTCAGACCAAATTGTTCAGTCATTACTATCTGAGTAATAGGTTCCTTTTCTATGTACTGAGGATACAGAGATAACAAAACAGGGAAACTGCTCTTCAGGGATTCTTAGATTAGGTAGGAAGGCAGACTAGAAAGTAGACAGTTACAAGAAAGAAAAATAAATGCAAAGAGAGTGTATGAGGTAATGTCAGTCATCTCCAAATATTTGTCACTTAACCCAACAAAAGTTTATTTCTCACCCATGCGAAGTCTATTGTAGATCTAAACCAGGGGTGGGCAAACTTTTTGACTCGAGGGCCACAATGGGTTCTTAAACTGGACCAGAGGGCCGGAACAAAAGCATGGATGGAGTATTTGTGTGAACTAATATAAATTCAAAGTAAACATCATTACATAAAAGGGAACAGTCTTTTTTTTTTTTTTTTTTAGTTTTATTCATTTCAAACGGGTCATAGATTGCCCACGGTTGATCTAGACTCTTGTTAATTTACCTTTATTATTCAAAGTATTACAGATGTCTACTTCCCCTGCATGATCCCCTTATCCCCACTCCTACCCCCTCCCAAGCCTTCACCACACTATTGTGTCCATGGGCAACCTTTTAGGGCAGTTGTTCTCCATGTGTTGGCTCATCATTCCAGGCTATATCAATCTTATTTATGGTAGCTCCACATCAACATATGATGTTGACCATATGATGACCACGGCAGGGAGGGGCTTGTATGGGACCATAATTGTTTTACCCAGGGAGGGACACATACTACTTCCTCACATAAAAAAAAAAAACCAGTCCCATGACCCCTCCCTACTTTAAGCAGGCAGTGGAGTGGGAACGCATTCATTTTATGTTCCTGGAAGTAGAAGAGAGTTGGATATTGGAATATTTGTAACCTACCACAAGTAAGGATATTCCCAGTGTGAATGTCCACTACAGGTGATTCCAGAGATCTCTAAGGGTTCTCACTAAGCTTTGGGATTCTGCTGTAATTCTCAATGACACCTAATGGGATGGACTTTGTATCTGTACCTAGCATGTTCTCCATGAAGAAATAGTACAAGTAAGAGGGTTTTTTTTTAGGGGTTTCCCTCTGACTGTGCCAAATACCCTTTCTCAGATGTAGCAAGCTGGTTATCATTCCAAGTATTGCACGGTCTTTCTCAGAGCTAAGGCCACAGGTTTTCATGACACTCTGCTTTTCTATTTTCTTTGGCCCAGATGCAGTGACTGAAGTGAAGACTGATATCTACGTGACCAGTTTTGGCCCTGTGTCAGATACTGACATGGTAAGTGTAGTTCCTGGTAAAGTAAGAGTGAAAGATGATACATCAGATCAAATAAAATGTGTTTTTTCCCCTATGGCAGGGCCTTGTAGCTATGTCCTATGGAGAAGTCTTATCTCAGATGAATTCTCTATCCTCACCAACCTACATTTAGCTGAATCCATCTCTTGCCCTGCTCCCCCCACATATTTACATAAAAAGCATATACCCTCAACAGGAGTATCTTTTCCTTCCTTCTACAACACATCTTTCAAAACCTGGCTTCCTATCCTCAATTAAACTTTCCCTGACTTCTCCCTTCACATTTTGCCATCACCACACAATATTAATACTGATAAGTCATGTGAAGAGAACATTGTGGTGGGCACTCTCAGTTAAGCAGCCAGTGGTGTTATCAAAGAAGGCTGTTCCTTGCAAACAGGTCCAGGGACTTGGCTTGGCCGGGGTGATGCAGAGTGTTTGGAGTAAGAGTCTAAGCCACTTCTGGAAACTTATCCTTTTACTGATGTGAGCAATTAGCTTTGGAGTATATTTAAGGAACAGGGCGGAGCACAGTAGAGCTAGAAAGGGGATGACTCCTGAGTCATTTGCAAGGACTTTCCCTTCTTCTATTGTTCTCCATTGCTGCCAAAGCAAAGAATGCAGAGGAGAGTTGAGACAGGAGGCCCCATCCTAATGGACCATCTGATTAATATCTACTAAGTATCAGATATTGATTGAGTAATTATTATATCAGGGAACAAAAAAGCTATTATTTGCTCCGTATGCCTGGCAATTATTAGATGCTCAGTAAATTTTTGTTGAATCAGTGACTTTGTGTTGAAAATAACAATTTTTAAATCAGAAAAAAATATATTTAAAAATATGAAATGTCCATGTTTATTACTTATTTTTCTCTGTATCACTGTATTCAGTGAGACTACTACTTAGCAAGGGACAGAGCTTCTTTAGACCTGTTGGGTAAATATAAACAGTGTATAGGGACATAATAGAATTTGCCCTTTATGTAATACAGAAACATTGAGTAGGGGAGTAAAAATATGCTTTGTTTTAGAATGATTGATCTGGCACTCTGTACAGGATGGACTATAAGAGGCAAAAGACTAGAGGATGAGAATTGGTTTAGGCATGTTGACTTCACAGGACTGTCCTTTCAGTCACACAGTTCTAGGAATCAGTTGGAAGAGCAGGTTAATTCTCAGGAGTGGGAGTCATGAGTGCTTGTGAGGGAAGGCAGGGGGATGGTAGAGGCGTAAACTTTGTATTTCAGGTGTGGAATAAAGAGAAGGGTGTGCATGGATATAGTAGACTCCCTGTAAACTCCTTAAGGGCAAGTACCAAGTCTTTATAGTTTCTCTGGCTTTTAATAGAGTGCTTGACACACAGGGAAAGCTCAGTGAGGGGCATGTTTGACATGGGGGACAAAGGAAAT